ATAACACAAAATGTGATGTCCTCACATATAAGAGGTTAAAGATAAATATTATTTCCAACAGTTAAAGGGCTGTTTTTGTAATATTCCAACACCCTGATTCACCGCTTTTAAATAAACATTAAAAGTGGGTGGACACAGTGACATTAACATCAACAATCCGTGTGATAAATGTAAATGTTTAAGAGGTTTAAGGTGTTCAGTTTCTTTCGAAACTGTCAGAAAATGCAGTTTTATCGGTTAATTCTCTTGAACACTAACAAACATCCACCAATTCATTTCCTGTGATCACTTCCTCTAATTATAACTCCACCGTCTTGTTTCCTCATCCCCCTTGATTTCTCATCTTTTCCTCCTTTTTCATTCGTTGTTTATGCACAGTCCAGTACATTTTCGTCAGTATCTTTGCCCTCACAAGCCTCACTCATTTACACTGTAAACCAAGCAGGACTGGACATACTTTTTGCCCCACTTTCTTTTTCATCTCCTTGCCCACCTTGTCAGTGCACAGATGGCGTCTTTTTTTTTTTTTTGGTTGTTTTTTTTTTTGTGGCACTTTGGAGGAAAAAGCTCCGAGCAGAGTCCCTGGACACGTGTCAAATCTGCCCCCTCTGTGAAAGTCACTATTAGCGCCAGAGCAGCTAATCGCCTACCATCACAGACGGTCACTGTCTCTCCTTCTGGGTCTGTGCGCGCGTTTATGTATTCATGTATGCATGTGTGAAGTCTGAAAATTGGGTGAGATGCTGCATGAGACGCGGCAATAACAACGGAAACACGGCGTTGATGCATATATGTGTGTGTGTGTGCAGATGTGATGTTGAATATAAAGAAGCAGCAGATATAATGATGACACACAGCTGCAAGTGTATTGATCCGTGTATATGACTGAGCCGTTTATTTATCAGACTCCGTGTGCGTGTGATATGTAGGATCCCGCCATCGCCCGGCCAACCATTGATCACCAGTGTGCGTCCGTGCAACACGTGTCTGTCCGTCTCACCTGGTCATACTTGGACGCCTTCAGGTGGTGGTTGATCAGCTCGAGGTTCAGGCGATTTTTCTCCTGCAGGGCAGCATGGAGCTTTGCTTTCTGTGGAGAAAGAGAAAGTTTCGTTTTAAATTACCTTCCTCCTCGCTGCAGAGACTTTCATATCTGGCTGCATCATGTATGCGAGCCGCACGGCGCAACTCCATCTTAAAACTATTATATAAGCGACAGATGAAAGACTCAGGTTAGCGCCGATCCCTCCCTCCGTCTGTATCCGTGTGTGTGTGTGTGTGGATAAGCTTTTTTTTTCTCCGAGATGCTGTCTGGAGGACAAAACCCACAGCTGCATACTGTCACCCTCCATTTGGTATGTGGCATTAAGAATGAAGAGGGGTGGGGGGTGGGGAGCTGATAAAGACGAGAAACAGGAAGGAAGAGATGGAGAGAGAAAGGAGTGGAAGAAAACTGGGATGGTTAAAAAAAAAAAAGAGCAACAGTGAGTGAGGGGGGAGAAAAAAAACAGGAAATAGAAACAAACTGAAGGGGTGTCGGTAAAAAAGCTCGCCAGCTCAAGATGAGATTAAGTTGCAAACCATGTAAAGGGATTGAAAGGAGCCGTGCACTTCCGTCTGCTCACTCCACAGTCCAGATTCAAGAAGTTGTCATGCCGCTGGTGCTGCAGGTACTCAAGCATTACATAATTACGCCAGACTCAAAGTAGGGCAACTCTCTCCTCCTATCACGGCTCTGAGCATTCAAGAATGATTGTACTGCGACTGCTCGTATTCCGGCACATAATACCACTTCACGCTGAGCTCACGCCGGCGATTGTCAGCAGACTGATGGTAAAAAAAATGTGGGTAAGAACTGTACGAGAGCAGTCGGGCCTTTCCGCTAATCAGCTTTGTCTTCAAACACAAAGAAGGAGTTGATGACAGGTTTCGTTTTTTTCCAGTAAATCCAGCAGGATTCACCAGAAAAAGTCTTAAAATGCTGCCTCCGGATAGAAGTTATAGATTTATAGTCAGCAAATGAGTTAGATTAGAGTCGAAATATGTGCTGGGTTTGAAATAAGAGGTTAAAATGTAGATTCTAGAAAAAGCTGTACACTAGCAAACAGTGTATATAAATGCAAATATGCTCAAGCCAAAAAAAAAACACGATTTCTGTGTCATCTTCTGCACAAGAAAAGATTGTGCAGCTCACAGGTTTATGATCAAATTTATCAGAGCAAATCAAGGACCGCAATAAAACCTCGGCCAAGAGGAGGAGAGAAGGAAAACAGGCAGAGCGAGAGTCCGGCCAGATTCATTCATCTCTTTGTGTGCAGCCACAGAGACAGTCAGGGATGTCGGAGAACGACGCGATCAAACCGAGATGTAGATCCAGAACAGACAAGGACAGGAAGAGGCTGGTGAGTGAGCTCGCTGGCTGTTTTTTTTTATTGTGTAACTCTGTCGCCACATCGCATCAGTGTGCAGATGCGCACCTATAGCCATGATGTCTGTTAATTAAGAAGACGTGGCACATCGTTGGGGCGTCAGCTGCAGCGGTTTCTCTGCGCTGACACCCCAGGACAAAGCCTTAAATTGGACACGACGAGGAGGCGAAGCTTGGGTGGAAGGAAGGGATGTGAAGACAAGTGGAAAGAGTGAAAATTGACAGACAGCCTCGTCTGAGCGGAGTTCATGTGAGGCGCCGCAGCCTCGGCCGAACTCTAAACTTTCCTTCGCTCGACCTGCCCTCCTGAGAAAGTCGGGAGTTCGTCGGAGGCAGTTGGAGTATGAAAACAAAAGGAAGAGAGGATGACCTTTAAAGGGCTTTTCTTTTTCTGGGCCTCAGGAACGATGTCTGCTTCTCCGCTTCCTCCCACTTCCAGTGAATCACACATTCACAGCTCGGTTTAACACTCTGTAACATCTCGTAAACACAGTGCAATCCCGCGAAGCCGAGGGACACACACGTTTCTGTGCCAATTTAAACCTTCAATATGCACAAATAAACAGAGAAATCTGGTTTGAAGATAAAAAGGATATGCTAATCGGGCTCCTCTCTTAAGGACAAACAACACGACATAGCGGGGAACGAACCGCGGCTCCGAGGACATCTGTCGGACCGAAGGTGTGGCGTCGGCGTGTTCGTGCGTGAATCTTTTTGCGCGGCTGTGAAATTCCAGATCCATATGTGCGTGCGGAGACAGTGGACAGGCCGGAGGGGGGGAGGGAGGAGAAACCTCAACGCCGTGAATAGCTAATTCACTCTGACAACTTCTTTCTTCTTTCCTCTTCTGTCTTTTCAATCTATTTATGTCTTTACACACTCATACTGACACTTTCTTTTCCATGACGACCATCCGTCTCCGGTTCATCACAACAATGTAAGGGGTCATTTTTACAACAGCTGGTCGAACTTCCAAGCGTTCGCTAAAGCGGCGGTGAGAAGGTTTCAGACAGGACAGATTTTAACCATTTATTTGGGATCACATACGTTGAGTTTGGCGGTGACTCTGGAACAATCTGAGCAAGCATGACACAGATAATCCCTGAGATCACAAACCACCCCTTGGATTTACAATTTACAATTTTTCAAATACGGTATGAACACGAGAACAGGACTAAATAGTCTTCACTTACAGAATCTAGATTACATAGTTCAAGGTACAATAATGAACCATCTGCAACCTACAGTCCCACAATATGGGAAACACCGGGGTTATATGAGACTGAACTGTTTTTAAAAGGTGGTGGTTGGGGAGGAGGAGGAGATTTGTGGATCTGCAGAGGTAGCAGCGATGTGGTGAGCGTGAAGCGGGCAGAATGAACAAACGCTGCCTCAGTTATAAAGCAGCTAAGTGGGCGGGCTGGACTTCAGCGATGACGATTGGACAGGTGGGGCCATGTGACGCCCTGACTCCATGCCTGTCTGAACCATAGACTGTATAAAAGATGGACGTAGCAGCCCTGAAAAATGAAGCCAACCCGGAAGTGTCAAAAACCTGCAATATCACTACGTCCACTAGCTGCTGGCTCCAAAAAGCCCTGGCTCCCATAGACTGGAATTGGAAAAGAAGTGATCACAGATCATGAAATACTGCATTCCTCCAGCTCAGGATTTTTTTCTTATTAGTTTTCATGGTCAAATCCAGAGATCAGGTGGCCAATCTGAAAATAAATCAATACTGAATTTTTAAAAAAATCGTCAACATTTTGCGGGGCAAGGGGCGTGGCTGGCTTGACTGACAGTCGGCAGCGACGATGCAGACGAAGTGAGCAGAAGGCGGTAAATGTGGGCGGGGCAGAGAGGGCCCGCCTCTCAATCCGTCTGACCAATCGCTGCTCCTATGGCTCCGCCCCCCTCCGACGATTTTTGCGTCACTGGCTCCAAAAATCCAAGATGTCAACCAGGAAGTAGCAAAACCCTGGCTTCATTTTCTCAGTGCAGAAACCAACGGGTGACGTCACGGCAGCTACGTCCATCTGTTATACAGTCTGTGGTCTGAACTAACACGAAGCTCTATTGTTGGTTCAGAAACAGCGAGTCTGGTTCTATCCAAGCAAGCTATTTTCACCAGTATTCTACGTTCCACCTTATTCGTTTGGTCTGACATCAACTGGACTCGGCATAACCACCCGAAAGCTTCCAGGTGCACCACAAATAACACAATCATGATACGTTAACGCAACGATTCTGGCTGAATTTGGCGAGCTCCGCCCTCCCGACCGGGAAGCTTCCATCACTCCGAGGCGTTTGAAAATGTTTATTTGTCCAACTGGGTTCTGCTGAACTCATTATACGGAGTTCAGCAGAGTGGCAACTGCTTCAAAGTAGCTGAACATGATTTAATTTGATGTACTTAGTTGGATCCACTGACGCGTATTCAGACGGATCCAAACTGGGTTAAATATGAATGGAGGAGGAGGGGGGGAAAAAAAATCTTAAAATAATTCCCCCCGTATTCATCACAGAGCACATTGTTTATTAAAATGGAAATGTACTTCTGCAGTGAAAGGTTTTAAATCCCGAACGTGGTGGATTTTACAGTGATTTATGTAATTCTAATTTATTTGAGGAAACCTTGAGTCTTTCAAACTGTGGATATTTCGAATAAAACACCCGTTAATAGGAATTAATTGCAACATTGAAATGCCTCGCGAGCCAGCAGAGGATTACGCGGACAAAGATGTTGGATTTGCTTAATTTAGAAATACACGTTTTGCATCGTGTTGGCGGCGTTTGTGTTTTAACGTCTGACAGAATAAGCCCGTTCGTCTGTCGTGGAGAACTGATGAAGGATGAAATCACGAGTGCAGAGATTTGTGGGATGGCGACTGCCGACTCTAAATGGGATTCTTGTGGGAAGAGGATTGCTACTGTGTCCCCAGGAGGATTGTCATTAATTAGATGTCACGGAGGAAACATTTTGTTCCACTTAACCGTGGGTGGAAAGACAACTGACAACATCTGCTGTCTTCGGTATGAGCACCGAGAAAGTCACAAACAGAGATGCACCACGAGTCCGTCATAGTTAATTAGAAAAGGCGTGACCCTCGTGTGGAGTGGTAAAAATATAAACATACAAACATTCAATCAGGATGTTTCATATAAAATATTTTGCTCCAGGCAAAAGTTAAACTGGAGTTCATGACTCAAGCTGCAGAGAAGTTATCCTGAGTGTAGACAAACTTTTTGTGCTTTTGAACACAAAGGCTGCATTCTCCATCTATTTCAAAAGACATCTTCTTCTCTGTATTTTCCTTTGCAGATACATAAGAACAGCTCAGGCTGCTTCTTTAAACCGATTCTCAAACAAAACACTTCACGCAGCTGCATCAGATTATTTCAATCTTGTTTAAATATTGTGATATTATAAACAGATTAGTCCCTCCACTTCTCTCCATTAGAGTGGTTTAATAGGACGGCTATAGTTCATGCGAGTGTCTGCATACGGCTTTATCTAACAACCAAGTCTGTGTATGTGTGTAAATGATGTTTTTTTTGCCTTTGTGGTGAGATATTGGACAAACCACGACTGTTGTAACATCACTAACAGCTGCTGCAGAAAAAGTGTTCAACACAGTCTAAACACTGGAGCAGTCAGGACCATGGACAGCTCCTAGACTGAACTCAAGCACTGTGGAGGAGAGTTTTTATAAGTGGAGCCTCTCAGCAAGTTCTGTGTCCAGCATGAGCACATGTGGACACAAGTGGGCCACATGAGAACACTGTCTTGCCACCGAGTTGGTTGCATGTCAAGAAGTTTTCAAACTATGATAACAAAGAAGGATTAAACATATCTTTTCTCCTTCAAGCTGCTCCCGACTGAACCCAACAGACCAGGGCTCAACTACCACATGATTACTGGTGAGCTCCTCTCCTGGGTCTGGCTCCAGAAGGGGGCCCTGGTCTCGGCCAAGGTTGCCCCACTCCTTGGTTTGCGACTCCATGAGGTCCTTGAGGACCAGTTTCCTTGGGAGACCCTACTCGGTGCTATTGCCCTCAACAACGTAACTCCCAGAATCACAGGGACACAAAAAAACCTCCACCAAGATGAGGCTGCAAGTCTTCAGAGGGGCAACAAGAAGGAGAACCCGAGGTAGAACCAGAATGTGCTGGAAGGTTC